ATGGCATAGGTACCGTCAAAAATGAAAAGAAAGCATTCGAATGGTATTTAAAATCTGCCGAGAATGGAAGTTCAGATGGGCAGTTGAAAGTAGGGAATTTTTATCAAAAAAGTTCTGGAATTACAAAAGACGAAAAAAAGGCGTTTGAATGGTACCTAAAAGCTGCAGAAAATGGTAATTCTAATGGACAATGTAATGTTGGAGTTTGTTATAAAGAAGGCATAGGATGTATGAAAGATAAAAAGAAAGCATTTGAATAGTATTTAAAATCTGCAAAAAATGAAAATTCTCTTGGACAAGCATGTGTTGGAAAATGCTATAGTGACGGTATAGGTATTATAAAAAATCATAAAAAAGCATTTAAATGGATTTTGAAATTTGTTAAAAATGAAGATAGTAATAGGTAGAATCTTCTTGGAAGTTGTTATGATGAAGGTATAGGAGTTGCAAAAAATGAAGGAAAGCATTTGTGTTGTACCTGAAATCAGCAGAAAATGGTGATTGTGGCGGGCAATGCAATGTTGGATGTTGTTTTGCAGAAGGTTTTGGTACAATTGAAGATGATAAAAAGGCATTAGATTGGTATATGAAATCAGCAAAGAATGATGATTCAAAAGGATGCAGTAATGTTGCGCATTGTGCCTAAATGGCATCGGAACTACAAAAATGGAGAGGAAGTATTTAAATGGTGCGTGATTGCCGCAAAAGATGGAGATAACCAAGGGCAAGGAGGTCTTGAACTTTGTTATTTAAAAGGCATTGGCTCAGTTAAAGATGAAAATAAAGCATTTATTTGGTTATTAAGAGCAGCAGAACCCTATTCACAATTTGCCGTAGGAACTTGCTACAATGACGGTATAGGTACAGCAAAGAATCCAAAAAAAGCGCTTGAATGGTTGTGAAGGCTGCTGAAGGAAGGAATATTATGGCACTCCAATTTGTCTCCGAACTTCTGGCAGGTCTCTCTTCCTAATTTTCCTTTCGGATGATGCACAAGTCCTACGGTATGAATTTTTTTTTTTTTGAGCATTTGAGAACGTGCATACTGTATATCCAAATAAGTTTACGAGACCGATTTTACACAGTTCCATGCGTAGCAATCTCAACTTTTGCTGATTCTGTTCAAGAAAAAGATGAAGTTGATTCAAGTCTTTATCCATTAGAATTTTTAAACACATTAACACCAAGTGGAATGCCACCCCATAAATTAGTATTAAAAAAAGAT